TTTATGCTTTGTTATAATGCACCAAGGATCTTCAATTTTACATCGGAAACCACCCCCAAAGTTTGAAATCGAAGCATTATTTCGACTAGTTATGCTGTACACAAACACAAAAAAAAAAAAAAAAACACACATCATTGTAAAATCAATACATTCATCACTTCGTTCAGAATCTAAAATAGTTATCAGGCAGTAGATTAGTGAAAAAGTATCATAACGAAAGTAGTATATAAAACATAAAATATTAATTTCAAATTTTATACTACAGAAATTAAACAAGTTGGCTCTGACAACCTTAATAATAAAAAACTTTTTAATTATTAATATTGTAAATTATTTAAAACACAAAAATATATATTTACTTGGCTTAAAAGTTGGCAAGACTCCAACTTCCTCTTTGATATGTTTCTCTTTTTTCTCTTTTAAATATTGTAGTATCTATTTAAAAAAAAAAAAGTAGGTTACAAGTGGGTTATTGTAATGGATGGAATTATATAATGATATGTAATGATATTATATTAATGTATACGAAAAACAATTCTTAGCGGAGACAGTTTATCTGTCTACGATAAATTATAGATTTTTAAAAAATTTCAAATCTCAGATTTAAAAAGAATTTTTTATGAATTTTAAGCTTAAAAAAATTTGCTAATTTTTGTGATTTTTTTTATGTTGTCAAATCCAAACTTAGAATGCTTGTAAAAAAAAAATTGTGAATATGTATTTCTTTAATTTTTCAACTGCTATTGTAAAAATAAGTTAGGAGCCTTGTATTCAATTTTCAAAACTTAGATTTAAAAAGAAAAACTTTTATGAATTCATGTCTAAGATAATTTGAACATTGCTGTAATTTTTACGTATTTAGTTGAAATTTGAACTTTAAATGCTTATAAAAAAAGTCGTGCCTATGTATTTTTCAAACGCTATTGTAACAATAATTTAAGTGTCTTTTCAAGCTTTTTCAAGCTTTTCTACCCAACAAATAATTTGTTATTGATATCTAAAGAAAAAAAAACTAAAAAAATTGAAAAATTAGAATTTCAGTAAACAGCTCAAAACAAGTCAAAATATTTTGAAAATTTTATCAAATTTAGAAAATGTCTATATAAACATTTAGTAAAAGTTTCAAGTATCTGCAGTTATTTGTTTCAGAGTTACACCAAAATAAGAAAATTRSTAAATGAGAAATCTAGTGAAAATCCAATGTTGTAAAAATTTAAATTTCAAACGCTCATATAAAAACTTATTTAACTTTCTGGTGGATATTTATTTTATGATAAACGTTGATAAACTTGAAAGAAATCCTGTATTAAATTTTCAAATCTGAGATCTAAAATAAATTTTTTTATGAATTTCTAGCTTAAAAAATATTTTTTGAATTTTCGTGATTTTTACATATTTTGTAAAAATTCTAATTTTGAATGCTTATAAAAAAAAATTGTGACTATGAATTTATTTTATTTTTCAACTGCTATTGTAACATTATATAAGAAGCCTTTTATTAAATTTTCAAGCTTTTCCACCCAACAAATAAATTTTTATTGATATTAATTTAAAAAAACTAATAATGATCAAAAATTGTATAATTTGCCTAAAAAATAGTTCAACTTAACTTGAATTTTTTTGAAAATTGCATTGTGGATAGAATATGCTTATATAAACATTCGGTGAAAATTACACAAATCATTGTAAAATAATATAAATGTTTGTATTTTTTTTTTTTTCTGAAGAAGAGGTCTTAATGTAAATAATACGAGTATGCCATAAATACGCCCATAGAGGGGGGGGGGGCCTCTAACTCTAAAGATAGCCCTGGTATTAGTTACTTAAATTTTGTACAAAACCTTGACTAAATGCTAAAGCAAAATAAGTTATCCATAGGAGTAAGAGTGTAAGACCATACTTATGAAGATATCAAGTTAAAACATTACAAATATTAGCTTCAATGATAAAAATTTAAAATTGAATCATAAAATATTGAATAACCAATAATTCTATTTTGAAGTTTAAAATATTTTTATTTATCCAMTGATTTCAATAATAGAAATAATTTTTATTCTTAAATTTAATTTAATAAAAAAACCACTTAAACTTGTTATTCGAAAAATATTACTCATTTTTTATGAAAAGATCAATTAAAAATGTATACTATAATTTAGATTTAATATTTACCATATCATACTGTAGTACTGTTATGTCTCTTCGATCCTGTAATAAATTCAACAATGTGCTGATTCCTTCAGGATGTTTATCACCTAAAGGCAAGCCACATTCAGATATAGGAATGCCAGTAAGTCCAGGTATAGGAGTCATTTTATCTCCTCTAATGTATGCATCAAAACTATGAACAATAAATGTCAATGCATCTTTATAAGGCATGTTTCTGTGTTCTAGAAAAATAAAAATAATACATCAATAAATATTTGAAAAATATGTTTGTGTTAAAAAAACACTTAAACAAAAATTACTTGATATTTGTAAACATTTATATTTTTAAGGATAAAAATGAAATGTTTTAATAATGGAGCAAAAGTCAGCAAAAAGCTTTACTTTTAAAGTCAGAGCCTTCTGAAATTACCATTTTTTTTTTGCATGCCTAAAGTATTGTCYCCTTGCTTTAGAAACTTAAATGAAAATAATTGTTATGATGAAAAAAAGAAAGTTTTTGTAAAATGTACTCTAAATAATAACAACTCATTTAATCATGTAACATATATTGACGCGGGCCCGCGTAATAGCCGTTTGAATTCAAACGGCCTTTGCGCGGCAAATCGCGCAATTACTTCTCTTTTCAACCGCCAATCGACAACGGACGACACCGACACGCGATAAGCGCGCCTGGAACGGTCGATCCGCCGAGACTCCGAACCGGTTGACAGTAGAGTGAGTTCTCTGACCGACACTGAACGACACACGCTCCTCACMACCCCGCTATTTTGATTTTCGTGTTGATCATTTTCTGGCGGTTGTATTTTCAACCACCACAATAAAAAAATCATTATACCGCGAACTGTTTGTGTTTTTCTTTTCACCACTTCCTACACTAGTGACACCACTGACTCACGCGGTATCCGTCCAGGACCGCCACAATATATATATAAATATATATATATATATTATTTAAAGATTAAAACTTTCTGGGGTGATGTATGTTTGGCATCAAAAGAATTGCCTTAAGGCTTATAAACACACACACACATGTATATTTTATTTATGTAGTCTAGAAATTGCATAATATTTTACCTTCAGGTATACCATGAAGTATATCAACAGTAACGCTTCTATACAATTTATTTTCATCACGTACAACTAAAACATACAATGTCCCTCTTTGTGCTAATGTTCCAAGAACACGATTCATTGGTATATCAGGATTAGGAAACAACAAATCAACTTTCATGTTCATTTTTTTTAAGTTCACTTCTAAAAATTCTGCATACTCTCTATAAAATAAATAATAGATAAAATCACTAAATAAATATTACTTATTTTAATTAAATGTAAGTATAATGTAAAATAAAGTGTATTCTTTAAAACTTACGTTAAAGAATTGTTAGTGACAACAATTTCACAATCATTAGGAGCATTTGGATTCATCACATTAGGATTGAGTCTAACTGGTTTAAAATCATCACTAAAATTGTAAAAACAATATAATGAAACTTCAATAAGTTTAAAATGCATTAATTTCGATGTTTTTACAAAAAATGTTATCACATTAATGCATAATACTATAGTGTTCATTGGAATATTTTTRGGGGATGAAATACATTTATAATAAATCAAACATTTTAAAATATAACCCCCTATATTTAATTGTCTTAAACTCTCGATAAAGTTGTATGTATACAAGGTGAAATAGAAAAACCTGATAAAAAAAAAATAATTAAACCTATGACAGAAATTAATATTATATAAGTAAATAATTTAAGAAATATACTACTTGACTTAGATAAATCTTTTTACAATCAAAATAGTTCTTATAATCAGATTCACAAATAGGTTATTTTGAATTTATCCAAATTTTTTTTTATTAAATTAAAATTTTTTTATTTTCAGTACTAAAAAATAACATAAAAAAAATTATTACACGTGTAGTGTGTAGGCTAACTTAATGAATAAAAAATAACAAATAAAAATTAATTTGATAATTTCAAAAAGTTACTATTCAAATAAAAACTATACTAGTACTAAATATGTATCATATAATGGTAATAAGATTATAATTTATAAGTCTTTTAGTTAATAATAGCATTAATTATACTATTATATATTAAACTAAATTGATTTTTTTAATAATTTACTAATCAAACGTTTTATTGATTTTTATTATATAATTTTAAATACTGCAGCTTGTTCTGATGTTTTTTATTTTTATACTTTTTTATTTGAATAATAAAGTTTGAAAATAATTAGAATAATAAAATTGTAAAAAAAATCATTTGAATAATAATTTATTCGAATAAAATGTTATCTAAATAAAATTTCATTGGAATAATGCCTTACTCTGGTATACGTAAAGGTTGCATTTTAAATTAATAGTTAATACTTGATACATTTTTCTTTAATTATGAATTCAAATACTAAAATCTATTGTTGAGGAGATAAGTGGATTAAACAAAACTTTACTACTCACTGATTATGTTCTGAGATAATGAAGTATGGTGTACCAACGTACAGCATTCGATTAGTTAAATATTATTTGAATAAAAATAATATGCATTTCATTACAGATGTATTTACTGATTTATTTATCATTGAACAAAATTTAAATTCTGAATATAATTAATGGATGCTTGGGAATAGTAGATACTAATAGATTTCCTGCTAAGAGGTTCTGCCCAGTAACGCATTTATTAATCACTTTATCGACTGTCCAAGACTAACATACCACCCGATGGGTCCTTGTCACAACAGTTTGTCCAGACCTTTGAATGTGTTAATTAAGCCTTTTTGGTCACATAAGAACCGAATTGGTTCACACACTCATTATACACTGAGTCAACACATGTGAGCAAGTTCCTTGCACATACATATATATACATGCGATACATATGTATATGTATAATACATACATACACATTCGCATGCATATTATACAACAATATAAATACATTTTTGATTTATATTCTTTAGTGATCAATATTTTGGTTGTGCCCAAAATAAAAATGTATTTACGAAACAATATTTGTTACGTCATATGCTATAAAACATTGTAAACTACAAAAATAATAATATAATGTATTACTTACTAATCTCTTGGTTGATTTCGGTTTTCATTCCTGAAATCATCACGTTATATTATAGTGTTTAATAAGTCTAGGATGATAAGATTTAAGTAATATTCAAGTTATAATTCACTTTTATAATTAGTTAAAAATAATCAATTTTCATAATGAGTATTCTTTAGTATTAATTTCTGAAGTAGCGTAATTTTGGAATAGCCAAAAAACTTTTTATTTAATATAATTGAGCTGCATGGCTTTAAAGTGTCAGATGTCAAAACATAAATAAACTATGCAACTTGCAAATATGATTTAAAATTTTGAAAACAGTACTTTACATCAAATCATTTACATATTATGTACAATATAATATGGTATAATTTAATAAATCAAATATTATATACCTCTTTTCATTAGCATCAAAATTTGCCGCTCTTTCATTTTTTACTAATTCTCCATTTCTATAAAAGAAAGGTCTTACTGGTTTCACATCTGAATATAAAATAGAAACAATTGTAACAAAACTGTCTAAACAAATTGCAATGCATACAAATCTATTTTAAACTAAATAAAAGTAGCATTCATACCAAGCTTCTTGCTCATAATATAATCTGGAGGATTTTGAGCCAAGGCTTTGAGCGCAGAAGACTCTTCTACAAACTGTACAAAAACATGTCTAGTCTGCAGTGAAACATCTGAAGAAAAAATTAGTATTTTTTAATAATTGAAAGACTGGATATCCAATATACCTAGTTATTGACATATAACTTACTATCAATTTCACCATATTTGTGAAATACGGATACAACTTCCTTGCGAGTCATGCCCGCTGCAGGTATGTTTGCCACATATATACGGGCCCTGGCTTTCAGTTCGTGATCAGCTTGATTTCTAGTTCTGTTCATGTTTATGTTTTCGTTACCTGGTTATGGTGTTCAAAACAAATTTTGTGAGTCTTCTAAACGATAGTGGTGAGAAACACACCAGTATTTTAACGAGTAATTGAATAACACTAGTGCGAACAATAGTGATTCAATGAAGTTTACAGTACGAGCAAAACGTATCGATAACCAGAACAAATAATTAACAATAAGGGTAATTATTATTATTATTGTAATTCACTTAGCGTCTTTTGAGTGAGCTCGATTTAAATTCGAAGTGAATGACGATCGTTGCATAATAAATACAAACAAATATTAATTATTCTACACAGGATGAGGTTGATTTGATATTGATACTTTAAGACTTTGATAGTAAAGTAACTACCAGAAACAGTAGTAACTAATTATAACTTATAAGCAGAATTAAAGATATATATCTTGAATCGTGTTTACTAGTTTACTACAGCAGGCAGCGGCTATAATATAGTATAATATAGACAATATAGTACTAATTTGTCAATATTGATAGGTAGCTGCAGCTGCATTTATTATTATTTGATTTCACGTGCTCTTATCATAAGACCGGAGAGTGTCGCCACATCGTATGCGAGTATCAGCACAGAATATAATAATCAGCGACGGACGTCTGCGCGGGGCCTAAAACTAAACTATAGTAAACTCTGTACGATGTGGTCATGTGGAGCGGCTAATTTATGGGTAAGGTTGTGGCCCGACTGTTTGACGCCGACGACCAATGGGACGCTACGATATGGGATCCATCATCCATGAGAGAGAATCGGGCCGCGTTTTTTCACTTTGTGGTTTAATATTTTACGTTTTTCTTAATTTCTTCCCTTCCACAGTGCCACTTCCACTATCCACAGGCCACCACAGTCCAGAGAGAATACTATAGAGCATGATTGAGTAGGGCCTACCGTAGGCACTATATAGCATATAGGCCGCTAGTTTCACAGTTATCGAGTGTTATCCATACGTGTTCCCTCGTCACTGTTCGGTGTTTATCTTTTAAAGTGTTAACCGTGTGGCATACTGTCGTAGTGGCGTGGTTGTGCTTACTGGTTTCATTGATTCATTCATTTTCGTGCCTTGTCTGTACATCAGTGTGTTAAATAAGTTGTTCTTGCACGATTGATTGGATTTTAATATCGTCATCTGAATTATTGCTACATCATTATATTACTCTGAAAAATATTGCCGGTATTTAAAAATAATATTTTTAAAAAATCACTACAGTTGAACACCGTCAATAGTGAGTAATTTTTTTCTAATTTTACACGTTTTTAAAMATTTAAGATAATATTATTATTGTGTTTGTACGTAACATTTTGTGTCATATACATATATTATACTTCATATCTCACGCTATACGTTCGATGAAAAAACGCGAAATTTCTCAATGTTATTGACCCTTGGGCAGACTGAAATTCGATTCGATTTACCTTCCAAAACGCGCCTTAAAGACATTATAACATCGTTTTCGATTGATTTGCGTTTCATGAACAACGTTATTCCATGCGGTGTTCACTGTTCATGAAGGATTTTTTATAGGCCTACTTTTTGTGCGAAAAACCGGTTTCCGTAATACGTATATATAGGGGCTTAAAAAACAGCACTCAGTTTACAGTTATGTTCTGTTGGGGTATGAAGAGGAGGATACCTAGAATCGTGTTAGTGTGTTAATGTAATTGAAAACAGTATAATATGCGTGCGAGCGTGTTAGTGTATATACACGCGAAACTGTGACATCATTGCGGGGAATATAGTTTTTGTTATTGATAATTTATTTTGTCAATTTTTCGTAGGTGTTTTCAAGTGTTTATATCGAATACATTTTCAAAAAAATACTATAAAATGGCTGGAGACAAGAAACCTTTTGCACGACTACCAAAATCTGTTAAACCAGTGTTATATGATTTATTTTTGAAGCCAGATTTGCAAAATTTCACATTTGAAGGCAAAGAAACAGTGTCTATAAATGTGAGTATTATAGAATCATATTATATTATAATATTAATTTTTAATTTAATTTCCTATTTATAAGCTTAACTTACATTGATAATAATATAATGTACAATAATTAACATACTGTTTATTAGACTACTTAATAATATCTACCTAATAAGTCATTAGGTATTTTTTTTTATTAACTAAATGCTTCCAATTATTATTACTGACATATTTACTAGGTATAGAATTTAACTGTAACGTATTTTGGGTTTATTTTTTTGGTGTTGGGGAGTGTCCTTACTCCTGGGAATACTTTTTCTCCACAAATATTAACATAACTTCATCATAAATTTATAACTACCTGATACAAAACAACTTGATACTTTATAAGTGGTCATTTTTTTGTAAAAAAATCTTAGGACTGCTACCTAAATTTGTGATTATAATCAAATAATTAACATATAATTATGACAAAAATAAATTATAAACAATTTAACTAAATATTATATCAAAACTAATTTAACACTTAAATATAAATAATAATTTTGTATTCAAAGAAAAATAATAAGGCCATAGCCAATATTACTGATGATCTGACATCACAACACGATAATACAATCTAAGTATTATGTATCTAGTAGTTCACCGTTAACTGGAAGTACAAATAACATTTTGCTAATTATAAAATCCATACTGCTTTGTATAAGATGAAAAATACTTTATTCAATTTATAAAGCAGTTTTCAAATATTTCGTCATTCGTCAACTATATTTTGCAATACCTTCTTCAGTAAAAAATAGAACTATCAAAAAGATTAGGAGTTTTAAGTTTTAATCCCCAGGATACCCTCCTTTAAATTTGCAACTGCTATTAAATTATTAATAGTTTTTTAATTAGTAATAGGTACCTAACTAATAACATTATTAGTAGCCAGTATGTTAAAAAAAAAATGGATACCAAATATTATCATCCAAATGTAACATATTCAAAATCTTAACCCTTTAAAATTCTAATAAACTACACAGCACTCATATACATATGTAACTAGAATATAGGTACAAATATTTTTAATTAACCAATAACTTTTATAAAACTCAATTATTCTTATTTTGTAAATGGTTTTAATTTAGAAACTATTTTCCCATCTACTTATATTATACAAAGAAACGTTAAATTAAATTATATGATTCTCTAATAATTTAATTTTAATAGTTACAAATTTAACAGTAAGGTCCCAAAGAAATAATTTCTTTTGTGTATTTTAAGTATCTTAAAAACAAAGAGTCATTGTGTATGAGTCAAGTTTTAATTGTAAATTTATTCTTATAGAAGTATTTATATCCTAACCTTGTATGTGTTAAAAGTATGATCGGTATTTTATTCTTCAAAGTATAGTAATATTATATTTCAAAGAGTGTGGAAGATACTTAGGTCATTGGCGCATCCTAAATTTAATATTATCTTAAGAAACAAAAATTCAAAATTTATTAAGATAAGTAGATCGTAAAAAAAACTTAGTGCCTGAAGTTATTCAAATTTAACTCTAGTTTCGCCTACTGTATTTGTCATAAATTGTTCTAGATTTTGTTCTGTTAAGATTTTTACAATGATTCATAGTTGTTTTGTAAGATTTTATTTAATATATTGATACTTGTTTCTGGTGTGATGATCCATGAGATATCCATGAGTATGCAAGAAGTGTGACCGGCACAGAGTTTCACACTTAATGAGACATCAAAGGGCCTCACACTTTTTTATTGAGATTGAGAAAGGGGCTTGTGCTTGAACCCTGAGAGCTTTGCTGCAAAATAAAATGATGGACCCCTCTCCATGGAAATTGCAGCATAATACCTATGCCTATTTGTTATAACACAATAATTCACATACTATTTGATTATTCTATTAAAAATATTTTTTTGCTTTTGTGTTAGGGATATTGTGAATTCTCTTCTCAATGTTAAGAGTTATGGTTCGTTTCTTTTTCTATGTTCAAAATTAAAATATTAGATAAGCATTCTTATCGACACGAGCATCTTAAGAAATTATTTATTAATTGTAAGTTGAAAAGATTGTTCCAGGAGTCCAGCCACAGTAATTGTAAGCATTGCAATAAAAATAACACAAGTATTAAAACATCTGGAAAACTACTTGAAAAATTGTTGTTTATAATTATAACTATCCAGAATATGTATTAATTTGATTTAATTTGAAATTTTTATATTTTATAACAGTTGTTATAGATATCATTTGTTGTGGTAGGTTAGAATTTATATCATCTATGCTAGTCAAAAAAAAAATCATATGAATAAACAATATGGTTTTAAAAATGGAAAAGTAGGTAAACACTAAGTAGTAAATCTTAAGATGTGTACAATATATTTCAACATTGGATATTAATTAAATAACTGTAATATGTGTTAAATTTAATACAAATTAATCATTTTTGTTCGATGATATAAAAATTGATTCTGTACAAATACAAGCAATCTGTATTACTAAGTTAATTTTATGTATTTATATATTTCTATTAGAGTAATTAATATTACTATTATTTTGAATTAATTTTTGCTAACATTTCATTTGAAAACATTGTTTGAATGTAATATAATAGCATACTAATATACTTAAAAAGTTTCCCATGATTAATAATTTTAAATTAAAACAAAATAATTAAAATTGTTATTCTCTATTTAAATATTTAATTCTTCTCAAATTCAAACTTAAATATCTAAAATATGTAAAGTAATTCTTTGGTTGTACAGTTGATTCTCGATAATTCGAAGTTGAAGGGTCTGTTGAAAAACTTTGAATTACCGAGAGTTCGAATTGTTGAGTAGTTCAAAGTAACGATGAGAGAACAAAAAAAAAAAATTCTTAATAGGTACTGTGAGTTTAGAAAAAAAATTAGTCTGTTTAATTTTTGTAAATAATTATTAATTATTCCAAAAAATCAGGTGGTATATATTAGATTTATATATTGTTTTTAAATTGTAAATTAAATTATATATCTCGGTCCCTAAAATTTTGTGTGTAGGTAATCAAAAATTTATAAGTGTGTTATAATAACCTTTATAATAATATTGAATATTCTATAAAATTTTAATATAACAATATTAATTCAGGATATCAAAAAAATCTAAAAAACAACTTTCAACAAAAATTCTATTTCACTAATTTTTTTTTAAAGAACYTTTAAATTTGTTAAATAGAGGTTCTACTTTATTTAAATAAAATAATTTATTGTAAATACATACAAGGTCTGTTCAAAAAGTACCAGGATTTTATTTTTAATAATTACAAAAATAAAGTTACATATTATTTAAAGATATCGCCTTCAAAATACTCTCCTCCAGACGATATGCAGTGGTTCCAGTGATCTTGCCATTTTTCGAAAGTCCTTTGGAACTGTTCTAAAGTTATAGCTTTGAGTTCTGTTGCCGTATTCGCTTTAATTTCCTCTACATCTTGAAATCGTTGTCCTTTAAGCGCAGATTTTATTCTCGGGAAAAGAAAAAAATCGCATGGTTATCATGTATAATAGATTAGCCGCAATAACATTTGTCCTGGTACTTTTTGAACAGACCTCGTATTATCATTAATTGATAGGTACTATGTATAATTCAGATTTGACTGATTGGGACTAAGTGTGTAGTACGAAAATTTGGATATTTCAGGGATATACCTAATAAT